AGAAACAATCTACATGCAACCACCAGAAGGATCCAACATCCCAGCAAACAAAGTACTTTGGTTGCGCAAGTCGCTTTATGGTTTGAAACAATCACCACGATGTTTCAACAAAGCACTTGATAAGTGGTTACAGTCTCAAGGATTACTTCCAACAAAAGCGGATCCTTGTTTCTATTCAAAGCGTGAAGGAGATAACATTCTCATGCTCTCTGTACATGTTGATGATCAACTCATTGCATGTAACAATTGAACTATGTTGGACAACTTCAAAGCGACACTTAATTCAGAATTTGAGTGTTCAGACTCTGGTCCAGTTGGATACTTTCTTGGGTTCAACATTCATCGTGATAGAACAAATCACAAACTGTTTATGTCCCAAGAACATTATTTTGAATCACTTCTTGAAAGATTTGACTTGAAAGATTGCAATCCTGCAAAAACTCCTCTACCTTCTGGATTTCGTCCAATCCCTGCAACAGATCAAGAACATGATGAAGCAAAACACTGCCCGTATGCCCAAGCAGTGGGGGCTATTCTCTATGCTTCAACCATAACTCGACCTGATCTTGCTTTTCCAGCACGTCTCTTATCTAGATTCCTTAGTAAATGGAATGACTCACATTGGAAAGCGGTCAAACACCTACTTCGTTATATCCGTAGTACTTCTGATCTTTGTCTCACCTTCAACAAAGAGAATAGCAATCGCATTGCATTAGGTTATGCAGATGCAGATTGGGGAGGAGATTTGGACACTAGAAGATCACCCACTGGATATGTCTTTAAAGTTTATGGTGGAGTTGTTGCTTGGAAAAGTAGGAGACAACCTACAGTTGCGCTTTCAACAACAGAAGCAGAGTATATGGCAGCATCAGATGCTACACGCCAAGCTGTATGGTTAAGACAACTTCTGGATGATTTGGGACTTGGACTTGGTCAAGAACCCTTGAAACTTCTCAGTGATAATGCGGGAACTATAGCTCTTGCCAAGAATCCGGTTCATCATAACAAGACAAAACATATTGACCTGCGACATCATTATATTCGGGAGAAAGTTGAAGACAACACTGTATCTCTGTCACATATTCCCTCAGCAGAGAATATGGCAGACTTATTGACAAAGGCTCTTCCTTCAGATACATTTGATAGACTGAGGGAGTTATTAGGGGTATGTGGCAGATCCGCTTGAGTGGGGGTGTCGGAATTAGAGCAATCGGTAACTGCCACATTGGAGCGCTTTCGCTATTTCCGCGTATTCCCTCGTCTCATTTCTCACCTCTGTCAATATTGTAGTTTCTCTTTATGCATTCTACTTTCTACATCTGACAATAACGCCACGCTTGCTGGGCCAATGATAGAGGCCATGACAGCGCAACCTGCTGCGAGGACTTTGGCACAGTTGATGAATTACTTCTACAGAATGCCGCCTCGAAGCGGCAAGTGATGACAATGATAGAGGCCACAAAAGCGCATCTTGCTGCAAAGAGTTGGGACCGGTCGACCCATTACTTCTAGAGACATTGTTCCGTTGGTGGTTTTGTGTTGAGAACAGTTGCTGATTTGTGCAATTAGTGCCTTTCAAGCCTCTCTTTTGTACTTACTCCCCGGTCCCACCCCGGACGATGCTGCAATCCACACTCATGGTAGAAGCCACAACAGCGCCTCACACTTCGTTGTGTTTGGACCAGTGGATGCATCACTTCTGGAGAAATTGTCACTTTGGTGCGTATGTGTCATGAGCAGTTGTTAATGTGCGCTTCATAACTTTTGAGAATTGCTTTAGGACTCTCTCCCTAGACCCGGCGCAAATCGAGTTGGTCAAATGTAGAAAGTACATGAAGAGTACAATATTGACAGATGTTAGATATGAGATGTGGAAATATGCGGACATGTCCCCAGCAAGCAGTTCTGATTGCACCATTTCCGACACCCCCATTCAAGCAGATCCGCCACATACCCCTAATAACTCTCTGAGTCGATCAAAAGTGTCCGAAGGGAGCGCGTTTATCAACAAGTCCCCCATGTTCTCAGCAGAAGGGTCATGCGCCAAGGAGACCGTGCTATCCTCGATCTTCTGTCGAATGTGGTTATGTAGCAGGTCAATGTATTTGGTCTTGTTGTGAGGGTTCTTTGCAAGCGCAATTGTTCCCGCATTATCGTTCAGTAGTCTGCGTGGTTCTTCACCAAGTCCTAGTTGCAAATTGTTCAACAGTTGTCTTCACCACACAGCTTGCTGAGTCGCGTCTGACACAGCCAATTCCATTCCGCTTCTGTAGTTGAAAGAGCCATAGTAGGTTGCCCCCTGCTGTTCCAAGCGACAACTCCACCATAAACTTCAAACACCTAACCAGTGGTTGATCTTCTGGTCGCTGGGGTCGGGGAGAAAGGACAAAAGCAATTCTCGAAATTTAAAAAGCGCACATTAGGAACTGCTTGAAACACAAAACAACCATAATGATGATTTCTCTAGAAGTAATGAGTCAACCGTTCCAAACTTTTTGCAGCAGGATGCGCTTTTGTGGCCACTATCATTGTCATCACTTGCAGCTTCGAGGCGGCTGGGGTCGGGTAGAAAGGACAAAAGTGATTCTCAAAATTTAAAAAGTGCGCATTAAGAACTGCTTGAAACACAAAACCACCATAATGATGATTTTTCGAGAAGTAACGAGTCGACCGTTCCAAACTCTTAGCGGCAGGATGCACTGTGGTGGTCTCTATCATTGTCATCATTTGCAGCTTGAAGTCGGCTGGGGTCGGGGAGAAAGTACAGATGCAGTCCTCAAAAGTTACAAAGTGCAGATTAGGAACTGCTTGAGACACAATACCACCATAGTGATGATCTCTCTGGAAGTAATGGGTCGACCGGTCCAAACTCTTCGCAGCAGGAAAAGCTATTGTGGCCTCTATCATGGTTACCACTTGCAGTGTGAAGTCGGCTGGGATCGGGTGTCATGACGTACACCAACAACGACCCTCCTTTGACCACCAAACCCCCATCATTTCTCGATCTCTTTGGTTTACAAGGATTCTAGGACATCTCATGTCAGATGTAGAAGTAGAATGCATAAAGAGAGACTACAATATTGACAGAGGTGAGAAATGAGACGAGGGAATACGCGGAAATAGCGATAGCGCTACAATGTGGCAGTTACCGATTGCACCATTTCCGACATCTCAGACCAAGCACTACGAAGTTAGGATAAGTTAGGCTGGTCAGTGATGGAGGGAGCAGAAGAAGTATGGGGAAGTTAGGCAAAGTTAGGTGAGATTAGAAGGACGGGTGTTCGGTGGTTTGGGGAGGTTGGCCAACGTGTGTCGAAGCGCGAACAGGTTGGATGAACATCTAAGAGGTGTGGATACTAGTAGCTGAGAAGATCGCTGAAGTTCTTCAGTGATCCTTGATTGTTATCAGTGGTGAAAGAAAGATAGAGATAACTACACCTGCATCGAGATACATCGTCATCAGTAAAACCCAAAATCTAGCAACTTTTGCAAACCTCGTTGAAGTTGCCACCAGATCAAAGTCTGCGCCCTCCTGTTTGGGTGAGACATCACCCCCCTGAGGTACAAAGTAAGCCACGGTTTGTCGGCCATCAGTCTTTGAGATAGTAGTTGGATGAGAGGCGTGACAGTTAGGCTGCTTCATCCCCTTCCATTCACTAACTACGCTTGGGGTCGCCAAAGTTTGGCGCCCCATGGCGAACCTCACCCCTTCTGAGATTCCCTCTACAATTCCCCCCACTATCTCTCTCTCTCTTCTCTGCTCCCACTCTTCCCTTCTCCTTCTTTCAGCCAACATCTCCCTATTCATCTCCCCCATCAACCTCATCATTCCCTGTGTCCCTCCTTCTCCAAAGGTCGCCTCACTTCCAATGTTTTCTCTTGCTCATGGGGTTTGTCCCGATTCAACTGGGGATCCCACGGGCGGAAGGGTATCAAAGGGAGGGGTAGGAGAGTTAGAAGGTGCGGGTGGAATGGACTCATCTCCTTGTACTGACCCCCCCACGCTATCCTCTGCTCCCAGCTGCTGTCTCATCGCTCTGCTAAGCTCCTCCAATGCTCTCCTCTTGTTCTCTTCCATTGTTTTCCTTTCTCTACTCGGCCTCGCGTGACTTGCTTCTCTGGCTCCATTTAATCTTTGCTCCTCTCCGAGGTTTGTACGGGTCGTCGGTAAGAGCGATCCTTGATACTGTCACACATCTCGTCGAGCTTCTATCTCAAAGACCGACAGTCGACTAACCTCGGCTAAAATCGTACTGCGGGGGTCGATGTCTCAAGCAAACAGGAGGGCACAGACTTCAATCTGATGGCAACTTGGACGAGGTTTGCCAAAGTTGCTAGATTTTGGGGCTTTACTGATGGTGATGTATCTGGATGTAGGTGTAGTTATCTCTATCTTTCTTTCACTACTGATAACAATCAAGGATCACGGAAGAACTTCAGCAATCTCCTCAGCTAATAGTATCTACTTCCCCTAGATGTTCACTCAACCCTCTCGAGCTCAGCCGTACTCCCCCGTACTTCGGTCTACATCCCTGATTCCCCGACCACCTTTAGCTCCCTTTGACTATCATCGCATAACTTCGCTGTACTTCTGATCCTATTGCTCCCTGACCCGTCTATCTTCTCCTAACCTCTCTTGACTGCGCGGTACTTCCTCCTAACTTCACCATACTTCCCCTTAGGTACGCCACCCTTCAGCGTACTTACACTCCTGATGCCTGACGACTTGTCCTGTTGTACTTTGCCGTCGTTGGTGTCAGATATCCTGAGTCACATGTGAACCGAGGAAGTCGAGGTGTGGTGGAGGTTTGCCGGTCAAAGGAGGGTCGTTGTTGATGGAATTTTGGGGCGTCACGACGTAGTCTGTGACACAAAATAGCCCAAATAAGGTGGCTGAAGTGATCTCACGTCCCTTGGGTCACTCAGTCACAAGAGGTAATACACCTGGGCTTATTTGAATTTCAATAGTACATGCATTTCGAACGAAGCTACTGGTCTTTTCAGATTGATGGTATCAGTGGCGGTATTGATGATGATAATGATAATGGTGGCGGTGGTGGCGACGGAGATAATGGTGGTGGTGGTGATATGTCAGCTCTAGATCTAGATTTCTCAAACGGTGAAAAACCCTCTCCCTCTCCCTTTCCCGAAACCATCCCATCATCATCATCCTCTCCGAAATTCCAGTCCAACCTTTTGTCCAATACGCCACTTTGTCCGATAGGACAACCGAGGATACACGGATCATCTTCCGTCCGCTCATGAGCCCCACTCGTAGCGGTCAGAGAGGAGAGGATGATTTCGGCTTGAAGCAGAGTGGTGATTTCCGAGATGAGGTGTTCTGTTTCCATCCTCATCCTCATGCCCATGCCCGTTTCTTTTTCCTTTTCCTTTTCCGTTCCCGTTTCAGGATCAAAACCCGTCGATTTCATTGTAGAAGGTTGATTTCCGAATCCCAATCTCATGACGAGATCATGTTCATTCGTCGGTACTGGGTCAGACCTTGACGAAGGATCCAAATCATCTCCTTCACGACTTTGGTCCCCGTCCGTCATCTCCCTCTCGGAATGTCATCGTTCATCCCCGTCCCCGTCCGTCCGTTCAGATACAGACAATGATTCATCATCATCATCATCATCGCCCTCGAAACCGTGGTCCGGATCCGTATCCGACATTCTAGAATCTCCATCGATAGGCGTACATGTACGTGTACGTTTAAACGGTATGGTTGAGGCATTTGATTTCCGACGACGTTTACGTGAGACCATGATCATCTCCCCCTCTGTGGAATTTTGCATTTCCAGTGCCATTGCCGTTTCCATGCCCATTGCCGTTTCCGATGGATTTGAATTTGAATCGGATCGTTCTGGAGACATTTCCGGTTTTCCCTTTTCCTCCTCCTTCTTCCCCACTATACCTCCATCCTTCTCTCCCCTTGCCCCATGACCATTGCCTTTCGTGCGAGTGAAAGCCGAGGAGAGGACGAAGACATTCGGTGAAGATCCGTCGCCAGGATCTTCCACGTGCAACATGACCCCTGTCCCATCTTTGACAGGATGAGAATGAGAGTGGATCTGGATCGCATATCCCCCACGTGACGTCAATCTCAACGCGTCAATCTCAATCTTGTCCGACGGATGCGAGTTCATTGGATGCATCCAGGATAGACCCGACCTCTTCTGGCAATTCGGGTGAATGGTGGAAAAGAGGCTATTGGTCGGGTCGGGGTCTCTCTCCACCTCGGGTGAGGCTCCATGCGAAGGGTGCGCGGGGACAATAACGGTGCAGGTGGAGGCGATAGCGACGTAGGATGGTTTCGGGTTTCGGATCGGTTATCCGGGTCTGGACGTCAGTCTGTCTGGAGAGTGGACGTGTCTGTCTGTCTGTCTGTCTGTCTGTCTGTGGGTACGGGTCACGAGTTGCGAGTGGCAAGTCTCAAGGTGATGGATGGTTGGGTTGGGAGACGATGGTTTTCTGTGTCATAGTTCGATGGATTGAGATATGATGATACCCCTCTCCTGGGTGGGTTGTGGGTTGTGTGGAAGGAAATAGGGCAAGGGGGAGTGTGACCAAAGACGGTACGGGACAACAGGAGGACTGACTGGGTGAGAATAGGGAAGATGATAGGAGATCGATAAAGAAGAGGAGGGAAAAGAAAGAATAAGGGGGGTGAGATTAGATATGATATCGATAAAGAACAGGGGGAAGTACACAAAAAAGAAAGAAGAATCGATAAAGAAGAGGAGTAAAGAGGGGAAAGAAAAAAAAGGAACAAAACGAAAAGCATAAAAGCACAAAAGCACTGAACCTTTCTCTTACCATAATGAGTGGTAGGCAAGAGACACTGACCTGAACGAATTTCTTGAAGTCCGTGAAAGAACCACCGTATTCGTATTCCAAACCATCCAACCCTTCTCCTTCTCCTTCTCCTTCTCCTTGGTATTCCTTCTCCATGACCCAATCCACATGTTCCACGCGATTCGTTCCTTCCGACGATCCTCCTCCTCTGCTCCTGCTCCTGTCCGATCACCCACCCTCGACCGATTCCGGACCTCCGCTCGGAGAAATGTAAATGTTTCTTTCAGCCTTTCGTCCTTTTACCTTTCCGTCACCCTCAATTGCAACCTCCGTACCCGTACCCGTACCCGGACCATGACCGTGATCATTCTCCGACGATGCATACGTGGGTGAGAACTTCCAGACCAACATATAGATCATGGTGAGATAAAAAGAATGGGTATGATGAGGTGAGGTGGTACGAAGATTTCTTCTTGTTCTCTCTTTCTCGTCGGTTTTCCGCGCTGCACGTTGGATTTAGATTGTTCTTCTTGTTCCGATTCCACCATCTCCTTTTGCTTGGTTCCGGATGAACCCGCGAGATTTCTCACGTCATCTCCCGATCTGTGTTTTTCCTTTTCCTCTCCCTCTCCCCCTGTCGTCGACGTTGACGTTTCCGTTCCCGTACCCATACCCAATCCCGATCTCGTCTCCCGATCGACCGTCGGCATCTTCTCGACGATGGAAGAAGGATACGAAAAGTCTTTGGCGACGTAACAACTGACGGGCGAGAATGTTTTCCTCTCGTAGCATTCCCAAAGCAATCTTAAGTCTGCACATGTACGTGGTCGACCGGAAGGACCGATACCGTGGGGTGATGATTTATCAGGACGACGAGGTGAAGAAGGAGTGAGTGTGGACGATGATGATGAAGCGGGAGATGCAGCGGCATTCCATCCGACCCACCCCGACCAGACCGCCTAACCGTCTCCAGATATCCCTCAAACCCATCTCCTCGACCTGCCGCGTCCGCATCACATTCTCCAGTTGCTCCCTCCCCTCCTTGAGCTTCATCTCCAGTTCCACCATCATCCTCCCGTCCGCCTCGATCCGCGTCTCCACGTCCTTGAGCTCGCGTCGTTTCTCCACGATCGCCCGGTCGACGTCCGGTATGTGGAGCGTGCGTCTCCGCACCAGCGTGAGACCGAGGTGGAGCGTGTCGGACGAGAGGGTCATGTCGGTGAATGAGGTCGGTCCGTCTTGTGGGTGGCCGTCTGAACGATTGGGCTGCCACGGTGCTCCATCTCCATCTCCATCTGAACCAGTGGCCGTGGAGGAGTTGAAGTCGTGGGGAGCGTCGGGGGCGGAACCTTTGGGTTTGGAAAGGAGATGATCCGCATGATAGAGGAACGAACGTAGTCCCTCATCGTGTTGGAATTCAGACACGAGGTTAGGGATCGGAAAGTACCGTGTGGATGTGGATGTAGAAGAGCCAGGAGGAGGAGCAGATGTCAAAGGGCCAGGAGGAAGAGTAGATGTAGAAGAGCCAGCAAGGGGAGTACGAGTACGAGGTGGAGAAGAAACGATCATGCCGAGATGTGACATGGATTGGATGACATGAGCGATAGAATCCAAATTCCGATGGTAGGCGTATGGGGCGGCGGCGACGTAGGCGTACACCTGTTCGAGGACGTCTTCACATGATCCGAGGGGGTTGGTATGGAGGCCAGGAGGGGCCGCGGGCCGCGTCGAGCTGGCGGCGGTCGATGAATGACATTGATATGGTCGAGGAGCGAGGAGCGGACTTTACTGTTTGATTCTATTCTATTCATACGAGACCATGCCGATGTACCAACACAACATAACAGAACAGTTCCGGTTGATGATTGAGCCATGACAGAAAGGAAAAGATCCGAGGTGGGGGTGGTTTTCGTATCCTCCAACCCACGCTCTTGAAAGCCACAGCAACACATCACACATCACTCTGCGCAATCGCACCGTTTGTAAAACATCTCCAACCCAACCCCCCCTTGCACATCTCATATCTCAATCCGACCTCTACCTCTCTCCTTTGCCCACATGTCCGACTCGGAGTGGTTCACCGTTCATACGTCCGACTCGACATGGGGCCATACGACAGAGTGGTTCACCGGTTCCGTTTTCGTTTTCGCCAAAGAACAAGAGGTCTCGTCGTACGATCCCACCAGCCCCCTCGACTCTGCCTTTGACTCTGAGGGTCGCCGCTGGGTGCTGGTGCTGGTGCTGGTCGACGCCCATAATGACCGTTGGGCCATCCGGACCAGTTGGTCGAATTGAGAGGGGGCGACTAACAAGACGTTGGAGGAAGCGAGTGGACGGGGTGATGGAGAGGGGGATGAACACAGAGCTTGGACGATTAGGGTTTGGGAATCTGCCAAGTAGACTTTACGGTGTCAGCCCAGCCATGTACGTATCATCGTCATGGTCATCGTCCGAGAAGAAACAAAGGTGCACAAGGAGAAAAAGAGAAAAGGAGAAAAGGTCGGGCATGATATCATACAAAATACATATCACCGGGACAAATCGACGGGTCGAAAGAAAGCAAAAGGCAAAAAGCAAAAAGCAAGAGGAAAAACGCGGGGTTGATCAAGGGTGCAAAAGAAACAATGGCCGTCAAGCGGCGGGGCAGAGTCGGATCGGATCCTCTTCTCTCTGTTTGTTTGCGAGAATGAAAGATCCCCTTCTCTCTGTTTTCTGTACGTAGAGGGAAGAAAGTGTGGGCAAATGGGGAATGGGAATGGACATGACGGAAAAGTGAAAGAAAAGAGGTCATGAAGAAAGAAAGGAAAGAGAAAGCTCACGGCTCCTAAGTCGTCGTCCTTCACCCGGTACATGTCCCAATCCACCAGGCACATGTCGACCGATGGGCGTACTCGTACTCTTGTGGAACGTATCGGTCGAGCCCGAACCGACGTTGTCGTCTTCTGTCCGGTCATTACATTATCCGATGGGAGATTGGAAACCGAGTGGAGGAGAGGTGATGTTATGGGTTTTGATGTATGTAAATGTATGTCGAGTTTCCGAGAAAAAAGAAAGAAGAGAGAAAGAAAGAGAGAAGGGAGAAAGAGTGAAAGACTAACGATGATGTTCACTCTGATCGTTTCGACTTTGATTCTCATCCTGACTTGCATCTCCATATTCATCACGATCTTCCTCGTCATCTTCACCTCCATCTTCCTCGTCATCTTCACTTCCATCCCCCCCTTGATCTCCATCTCCATCCCCCTCTTGATCTCGACCATCGTCCGACCGCCCAACGTCTCCCAATCCCAACTTGACCTTCCTCCCGACCCTGCTGTACACCTTGGCCGCCAGCGCCAACGCCGTCTCGTGCTTCCAGGCCGACACCGCCGTCTGTCCCCACCCGACGACGAGGGCGCCCCACGCGGCGGGGGTCACCAGCCGTCCTCCGCCGACGGGATGAGCCAGGACGAGGGCGAACGAGTGACGGAACAGGTCCCAGAGGGTCTGCTGACCGGGACCGTTACGGCTGCCGTCCTCGTGGAACAACGAGCCAGACGGCGGGAGGAGGGCGAGGGTGAGTGCGTTGTCGAGTCGGTTCAGTAGATCGGGGAGCGGGATCAGGACGGGTGGGGTTGCCGACGTTTGAGAACGTCTTGGCGTGGGTGAAGATGGAGGTCGGATCGGGGTTGTGGGCGATGGGTGATCAGAGTACGATTCCGAATCCGAATCCGAATCCGAATCCGAAGGAGAGGTAGAGGGAGGGGGATCATCTTGCCGCTCGAGGAGTAATTCCCTTATGACAGAACTAGATTCGATGATCACCGTACCATCCTGCGCCATGGCCATCCGACAATAACGATAACGATACATGAACACACCAAAGTGAGCACCAAAGGTCTCGTGAGCCGTCTTGAGGTAGCCCAGCTCTTGACAGAAACCATGTCGGGCCAAGGCTGGATCGTCTTTTCTTTCCATCGTGAGAGAACCTATCGAGGTCGGGTTCGCGTTGGGGGAAGCCCATGTTTTGCTCTCGTCCTTGTTCTTGACAGTCGGGGGGGATTCACCGGCTCTACCAAAGATGAAAAGGTCGGGTTTGACCAAGCCGTTGGACGAAGCGAGCTCCCCTGGCCCTTCTCCCTGCCATGGGTCAGACGTTGTCGAGGTCTGCGTGGCCGTCATGACGTCGGAAGGACCGAGAGAGCTCAGATGTGCGTCCGTGGAAGGGTGCAAGAGTTTTAGATCACCCGCTTGGACACGTAGACGTCGGATCGTTCGTTGGAATGGTGAATTACCCCAAGAGAGTGTTTCGTCTTCACCTCGGCCTTCTGGGTCTGAATGACCAGGAGCCCACTGCGTCAACACCTTGTCCGTCGTGGCCCCGACCGACACGCCGTTCCTCTTCATCCAATAACTCCCCAAAGACGAAGCGAGAAGACCGTTGATCTTGGTCTCTGAGATTCCCTTTGCGGTAGGGACCATGATCGTCCCTGTGCTTGCCCTTGACTCGTCGTCGTCGACCTCGTCCTCGTCGACCTCCTCGAACCAGTCCATCTGGAGCGTGTCGGACAGATGATCAGGGAAAGAATCAGGCATGGAGTGGGACCATTTGACACGGGACGCAAAGCTCCCTTGGATGGATTGGAGATGAGTGGCAGGGGAGAGGAGATGCCAGTCGGCGTCGGCGGGCGAGTGATCAACGGCGGTGACGGTGGATGACTGGGAATGGTCCGACAGCCTGGAACGACGGCCATGGACGGGGACGGTGGGGGAGGACATGCCAGTGACGGTGCCAAGTGATAGTGATAGTGATAGTATAATGAACAATGTTAAGTTAACAAAAGCCAATATCTATGGCCCGCGCAAGGGGCCATTTCCTTTCTTTTCTTTTCTTTTCTTTTCTTTTTTTTCTTTTTTTTTGGCCGCGGATTGTTTTTGATTTTCTAATTCCACCTTGAATCTCAATGAGGTTCATCGACTTCAACCACACCCGCTGCTGTTGCCTTGTCATCTACCCGTCATTGTATCCCGCTATCTCACTGCATTGTCAATGAGTCTCATCGACATTCCGTCACTGTTTGTTCATTGCCGTCATTGTTACCTATTACTGCTCATCTTCTGTCACTCTCACCCCTCTTACACCTTTTTCTACTCGGTTCACTATTTTGGCTCTTTGCCACCAGCCTGCTTCATGGTGAGCTGACTTGCCATCTATTCTGATCTCAATGAACCTCATTGACATTCAGGATCAACTTGTGACTCCCGCAGACTATCAGGTAGTCTTGTCCAATGTCAACCATTACACATCTCCCGTAGTCACTTTCATCAACAACAACAAAGTCGTGGAGTTTGATATTGATCTGGCCCCCACTCACATTGATGACATGTCTTGTCTCCTCCTCGACATATGTGAGATTGAACCATATTTACCACCTCCATTGTATCTGAGAATCTGTGCGTACCTGCAGGATGTACTGAATCTCCTGCAAACCATTGAAGATCAACATCTGATATCTCTTGGAAATCCTGTCACTCCTCCAGGCAGATTGTGGGAGATGAGTCCAACTGGCATATGGCAATTAGTGATCGATACCCCTATGCTTGTAGACCTATGTGCCGAGGGCTTCACTGATGGTGAAATCAAAGAATTCCTTGGATGTAGTGAGAGAACCATCAAGCAAAGGAGACAACAGCTTGGTATTTTCAAGAGGGAATTTCCTGAGCTTTCTGATGAAGATATAGCTGGTGTGAGTGTATTCTGGTCCTCTTTGGGCTGGAACAGTGTCACTGATATTCAGTGGGTGTCAAGGATACTGCCCACCCTGGGACAGAGGACAAAGGACAAGGGGACAAGGACTAGGAGGGACAAGGACTAGGAGTGACAAGGAATATACTTAAGATAACAAGACTGAGTCCAACAAGGAATGGGACTGTGACCCAAGGAATGTCTCTGGCTTGTCTGACAAGACTAGAGGGAACTGGACTGGACTGGGATGGACTGGACTCCAAAAAGGTGGCAATGGAAATGACTTTTGATCAAGAACTAAAGAAGACTACAAAGTACTAAGTAGGGTTTATATAGACAAATCAGGCTTTCTACCAGGTTGAACCGTCCTGCGTAGGAAAACACCGCAATCCTCGGCGTACCTATCGTTTTCTAACTATCAATAACCTCATCAAGTCAGATCAGCAACATGTACACATGTACACATGTAAATCTTCTTTCTACCTCCAAACTCGGTGTTTGAAACCATGTTTAATCCGACGGCTAAGTATCTTTGTGTGACGGGGGGTCAAGGGTTTAGTTATCATGTTGCAAAATGTCATGTTGCAAGATAAGCCAAAGTGTGGTTAGCTTTTGTCTCAATGTCATCCTATTCACCTGCACATTTTCTACATACAACAACTAAATTGCCTTTCTTCCTGGAACGTATCTTGGTGTCTACCAGAGAGAGAGCGTATAAACGGTGTGACCGAGTATGAATTGAAAGATACAAAATGATTACTAGCGTTTGCCAACCTGTCAAATTGACAGGTCCGTCTCCCGCCTTTCAAGGTAGCTCCGTGGACCCATGGAATCTTTATCTCTCAGTGAAACCTGTCACTTGCACATGTGTCGCCGCTGGCCACATGATTTGTCTCGAGAGTTAATCCGGCGTCCGTCCGGCAGGGAAATCTGCCTCTCGGACACGTATGATTCGGGGTGTTTCCTCCGGCGGGGAAATTCTCTCTCGGGATGTCTCGCATAAAACAAAAAGACATTTCATCAATTCCGGCGGCCGCGGGGGAATTTCCCCTTCGGACACTATCACCTCCCGCGGGGAATTTCCCTCTCAGATGATGTCTCGACAACAAAAAGTCATTTAATGATCTCCGGCGGGGGGAAATCCCCCTCGGACATTAAACTAACAAAGCCTGTGATTCGGTCCATGAAAACGACGTGATATCAATTCCGAATATGTAGTTCTCTCAATTGTCATTTTTTGTTTTATCCAAAATGGCAATAGCGGGTTATCTGATGGACAAGTGACAAGTGACTTGATGTTTATTTATCCTTTCTTTCTTTCTCATCAGAAGGTATTTTATCACTTCCACCTATTGATATCTTTATCCCTCCCCTGGGTTCTTCTAGAAATAGAAAACTAGAAATCTAGATCTACGACTGATGACTGATGTTATATATATCCCACTGGACATGGGTAGTATGGAAAAATGCATGAACAATGAATAGGCCAGGAAATAACATGGTATATAACTAATAATGATAATTGACAATGACAATGACAATGTAAAGAGAAGAGCTTTTGGATCATCACTCATGCTCATTTTTCCATGTTTCACATTATTGACCTCAGAACCAGCTCGTGGCTTCTCCCAAATCTTCTACACCCATCAGCAACAACAACAACAACAACAACAACAACAACAACAACAACAACAACAACAACAACAACAACATTCACATTCTCTTCGGTCCTTGATGAAAACGGAAGGGAAGGGTGACGAAAGGGAAGATAAGACGGAAGTGATGGAAAAAAAACAAAAATAAAAAAACGATCGGACGACTCACCCATCATCTCCTTCATTCGATCCCTGTTTAAACCCGACGCCAAACCATCCCTCTCTAGTCCCCTGACGAACTCACGCAATGGGTCCCTCAGCAGAGACTTGCGATCGGAGGGCATCATTCCTCCGTCTACGAGGTATCTCAACATGGAGCCCACCTTGTTCTCCGTCAACAACCCAGACGATTTCCACCTGTCCGTCGACTCTTTCAATTCAACCGGGATACGGAGACGGGTCTTATCCCTCGCCTCATTCACCATTTTCTCCAACCGGACGCGCAGAGTTTCCCCGGACGTGGAGGTGGACGTGCTATCCGGCTGTCCCTCTCGCTCACGCTCGAGCTCGATCCAACGCTCAAACACCCCGATCAGGGGCATGACCTGATGTCGAACGTGCCCCGTCTCCGAGATGGTCTTGAGCGTCATGGCCAGATGGTCGACCTTGACCTCGAGATCGTAGCTGAACGTTGCGAAAGTGTGGTCGAGGTCGGCGGCGAGCTAGTCCAGGTTGGACATGTCCGTGTCATTGTCCGTTGTCCAGAAGAACAACAGGTCGAGTGTGTGTCGTAGGTTACCTTGTTCTTGGAGAATCAACCGATCCTTGAGCTCCACACGGTTCGCCGTCAGGTCATCCATCTTGGTTCCCAGTCGTTCTCGGACCGACTTGAGCTCTTCGGCGGATGTTTCGGCACGTCGGTCGGATATCACCAGTTGAGCCTTTGATCCTTGCAGTTCGGATTCAGCTGCTTGCAGTTCGGATTCAGCTGCTTGTTGTTTCTTCTCCGACGTCTCCAATTGATTCTTCAGTTCAAACGTGGTCTCCACCAACACCTTGATTTTCTCTTGAGCCGTTTGGAGCTTTTCTCCCGTCATGTCCACCGTCCTGATCAAATCTGCGTTTTCCGTTGCCAGTGCCGAGTTGCAATCAGCGAGCTCGGGATTGTGCTCGCCGAGCAGGATGACTTGCTTGGTCAACGACTTCATCTCTCGTCCCTGTCCGACGATCTGTTCCTCCAGGCTGGGAAGAAGATCACGGGCGACGTCACGGATGGAGAGAACGGCACCCTGACTGGCATTCCTGACCGTCTGCAGCGAAGTGACATTCGGAAGCCGTTGTAATGGCGTTATAGACAATGGATCATCTACGCCGACCCGTCCGAGTCTCTTGCGATCCATTTGGTCCCGAGCCACAGGCGCGAGAGGGACGACTGGTGACATGTTCACGGGTACGTCAGGACGATGGTTCAAAGCTTGAGAGTCAGCTAGCTCACGACAACGATGGACGAAAACATGACTGACTGATGAGGCCAAGGATATTGTCGAATGCGCCATTCAACAATTGGTCCGTCACCGTGTCCCTCTGATACTCTCTCTCCTTGTCACGAACTACGTCGTGACACCTCAGATTCCACCAGCAATGACCCTCCTTTGACCATCAAAACCCCTATCATGTCTTAACCTCGTCACCCCACACGTAACTTAGGACATCTGAGACCAAGTACGGCGAAGTTAGGCGGAGTTAGGAGAACTAGGGACAATGGGAGCAGAAGTACGGCGAAGTTAGGCGGAGTTAGGAGAACTAGGGACAATGGGAGCAGAAGTACAGCGAAGTTAGGCGGAGTTAGGAGAACTAGGGACAATGGGAGCAGAAGTGCGGTGATGTTAGGCGGAGTTAGTCGAAGGACGGGGAAGGACGGCCGAGACTCGGGGAAGTTGGACGAAGTGCGTTGAAGTATGTCTAAGCGCGAGGGGGTTGGGTGAAGATCTAGGGGGAGTAAACAATATTAGCTGAGAAGATCGCTGAAGTTCTTCAGCGATCCTTGATTGTTGTCAGTAGTGAAAGTCAGATAGAGATAGCTATATACAATCGAGATACATCGCCATCAGTAGAACAAAATCCCATTTAGAGTAACTACGCCGAAGTACGCCGTAGTTACACTCCTTTCGACGCCTGCGCCCTCCTGGTTGGGTGAGACATCGAATTAGGACCACCAAGTTAGCCGAGGTTCGTCGACCGTTGGTCTATTGGAAAGAAGTTATTCGGCGGCCGTGACACTCCTCTTGGCCCGCTGCTGTCGGATGACTTGATACCGGACCAAAAGGTCGGATGCAATGCACATGTATGACCTGATCGGCGCCGACGAGATGGTTGACGAGCAGACGGAGATGGTATCTCAATCGAGATGAAGCGGGACCACGTTGTGAAATCTCTAGATCTTCCTGCTGCCTTCCTTGCCTTGGACAAGGATGAGGCCAAGACGGAGAGGTCAAGGTTGTGAACGTGATTGACTACAAACTCGGGATCCATGGCGGCGTTACAGAGGAGCATATCCGAAGCTGATTATCGGACCGTGGCCGCGAAATGCTTGACGGTCAACGTCGCAGGATCTGACGTGTCGAGATGAGCGATGGGATCGATCTCACTTTGAAGTTCTACCAGTGCTTCTGACAGATCCTCGAGACCGGAACCTTGGATTCCAGTGACCTGACTGAGAGCCGCGAGCACAGTGACGAATCTTGGTCCGACCTTTTGAAGATGATCATGCCGACCTTTGGGAAGGGAGAGAGTGTGAGAGAGTGTCGAGCAGGGAGGCGTGGATGACCTCACCATATGTGTTGTAGAGGAATTGATCGAGAGCCATATGATCGACAAGCTCGAAACCTGGGCTGTCCACAAGCATGACTTTACCATTTTGGGAAGGTGGTGTTGTATTCGCTCCGAGGGCCTCGTTGACTTTACGGACGACGGATGAGAAGAGGGTCTCGTACATGTACCCAGCGACGAGTATGCCTCGTGGGTCTTGCTCGATCAACAGGTCGAGGATGTTGTCGAGGATGAATTCGATTTGAGACACTTCTTCGTGGTCGAAAAACAAAGCCAAGAGGGTGGAGATCCGAGTCCAAGACGGAGAGCTTAGTTGGGGGAGGGCGGTCGAGTCGGATTTGGACTTGGATCTGGGGAGAGACAGGTTTTTGGAAAGAGCAAAGCTTTCGAGAAGATGAAAGTTGCTTTCGGCCACACGAGGTACGATCACACAAGTTTTCTCCCAAGCGAACACGTCTATTTCCACCTGGGTGGGCAAGGGTTCCGATGGGTTACGGGTGTCAAAAGTGATGGTGACGCTGCTGGCGAAACGACTAGAGTTGTCGCTGAGCCTGGTGGAAGCGTTACCGAAGCATTCAATGAGTTGGATGCCTTGGTCAAGCTTTGACGACATGGCATCACGGTCGGTTCGAAAGAAGAAGTGACATTGTTGATTGGTCAAGTGGGTTTTGCCAGCTCCTGTCTCTCCGGAGTGTTGAAATGATCTGGAGGTGCATACGACGGGAGAGACCATGATAGATTTTACGGCAGACGTCATGGATGTGAGGTTGAGCCGAGGGGAGTGGGTGGCCATGAGTGGGAGTGGTGGCGTGGTGGTCGACGTGGAGGGATGAGAGGTCGTTCGACTGACGAGTACCGGGATTGAGAGAGATCTGTCAGTGGTCAGCGGGGAATGAAAGAGTCAAGGGAGAAAGATAGACTGACGTATAAAGGACCGAATGTAGTTAGGAAATGACCTGCTTTAGCCCGTTGGAAGAGCGTTTCGGCGGCTGAAGAGTGAGCTGCGATCACCCTCAGAGGAGCACAAGAGATCACTACTAACCGAGGGAGAGGTCTAGATCTTGTACCGCGGCCAGGTCTCTGACCAAGTTAGAGTTCATCCTGGCTTAAGAAAGGAAAAGACAAAGAGGTGGTATTTGATGGGAATTCGATGACCATTTGAAACTACTTCGAGTGACAGCAACTATCGACTATCGACTATCGACTAAACCCACTCCAAATGTAAAAGATCACCGCCGTATCCGAGTTAGTTACCGCGAGTGAGTCAACGAAAGATTAAAGACCGACGAGAGAAGAGTCGCAGCAAACACAAAATATCATGACAACATCTTCTTGCCATCCGTCAACCAAGATATCATCCTGTCTGCCACTGATCCTGATTCCGATTCCGATTCCGATCCTACCTTGAAACCCTTCTTGATCCACTCTAGCCGACCCTCTGAGATTTCCGTCATGTCCCTCATGGACGACCGAACGGTTCCCAACTCTCGTCTCAGCTCATTCTGCCTCTCCTCGTGAATCAGACGTAACTGTTCCAATTCCTTAATCTGCCTCTCCTCGTGGACCAAACGTGACTGTTCCAATTCCTTGAGTCTGGTCGACATTTCCACCATCATTCTCTTCTCTCGTTCCACAGTCTCATATAACGAAGGGTTCTCAACTTTCAAACGTTTGACCTCTTCTCGTTCCCGGTTCAATCTGTCTTCGGCGGACCTCGAGTCAAATTGCGATTGTGTCATCTTTCGTTTTTCGAGCTGGATCATCTCTTCCAATTGTTCCAACCGTTCGAGAGTGTGTGACATGTGTTGATCATGTTCCATCGCGTCGCGTTGGTTTTTTCGAAGTGATTTTCCCACCGTCTCATTAGCCATTTCCAGTAGGTATCGCGTCCCGAGTAGGACTTGCCTCCTTCTCCTCGTCGTCATCGTCACCTTGGGTCGTTTGGACGTTCCTTATGACCGATGTGGTGATTCCGGATCTGTCCTTATCCACACTGATTCTGACGTATCTCGTCCGCCTCACGGTCGGAGATATCTTGTCTTGATTGGAAGAGGAACCGAACGACAGCTTTCTCTTCTTCGTATCCGACTTTCCATCCTGGCTGGTGGTCTCCACCGAGGAGAGAGGTTGCATAATGACGATGGATGGACTTTGGAGGGAATCGTTGACCGCTTTCACAGATGATATCTCAGGGCTTGGCGTATGAGGGGTTTCCATCTTGTCAAGTTGTTTTTCTGGGGATGGGTCGTAGGATTCATGATTTGAGAAATGTTCGAAAGCGTATTCCTCCCCAAGATTGAAAGATGCCTGATGGGTAAAGGTAGACGGTTCTTGATCTTGTTGTTTCTCTCGTGAAGGGGTTCCCTCTGAGCGAGTCAGCGATCAGCGATCAGTGTCAGGATGGAAACGAAAAGAATGCAAAGAGTTTTTTTTTTCAACTCACCTTGTTCAAATGGGGAGACCCCTAAGGTCAAGTCACGTTCTAATCTCAAATTTTGTATCTTGGAAGATTTACCGTCTAAACGAAGGTTTGATTCCAAGACGTAGATAAAGTTTCCTCCAGTGTCCTTTACGCCATCTCCTACCACCTTGCCGCCATCGCCATCGCCATCGCCATCGCCATCGCCATTGCCATCGCCATCGCCATCGCCATCGCTTTCACCCACCACCGTCTCTCCATCTTGCACGTGAGGGATCATGATGACGTAGACATGTTTCTTGGGGGAAGATCGGATACATGCCGACTTACATATTCTACATGCTGCGCAACTACCGAGGGAGACGACGATGGCGTGGGGAGGGATGCCGAGAGCACCAAATGATTCCAAGCTAACGGGGGAGATGACACGAAGGGTTCCTCGATGAGCTGTATGCCATCTTGTAACAACCAAGATAACGAATATCGTCCTTGGACATGATGCAGATGAGGCGGAGGGTAGAGGAAGAAGAGCGATTCCAACGTCGTTATGTAAGTCTTGCCCGCTCCCCTGTTTCATCAAAACATGAACCATGAACCATGAACCGATAACCGATTGGGAAATGATTTATCTGATCGAAACACATGAGAGAAAGGAGACAGAAAACCAAAAGAAAGAAAGAAAGAAAGGGGAAAAAAAACCCAATGGACCGATTGGGGAAAGGAAAGAAATGATACCATTTGAATATGATGAAAAGGTTTTGAAAAGAAAAAACTCACGTTTCTCCCGTATGTTCGATGACCTGAAGAGGTTGACCGAGTACCAAACCATTGTAGATCTGTGTACAAACGTCAAAGATGTGAGGCTGGTCGGAGAGGAAGGAAATGCCTTCTTGAGTGGTACGGACGGTAGTCGGATGGTATCTCTCGACGAGATCTTCTTGGCTGACTGTGAAACATTAACACTGCACTCTGAACAAAGAGGGTGTGGTGTCCAAGAGGTTGAGGTTGTGAGAACCAAGGTTGAGAATGAAATTCATCGCTCTTACTTACTTTGCTCGACGGGTTTACCGGGGTTGAGCGATATCTGCGAAAAAGTGAGTTTTCAACTTTCTTTCCCATGAGGTAGGATGAGAAGGGTTAACAAACAAAATGATGATGATGGGAGAGTTTGTATGAGACTGGGACTTACCAACAAGGGACCGAAACGGGTTAGGAAGACGTCTTGAAGAGCGCGTTGATAGAGAGTGTCTGCGGCTGAGAGAGTGAGCGATCAGCCGATACGTGATGGAAGGAAGAAGTACGCAGATAAAGTCTTCTCAATAGTGTTCTCTCTAGTCTGACTCACCAGAGGAAATGTTCAGACCAGGGATGAGACAGAGGTCCGCGGGTGCCGTCATTGTTTGGGATGTTGTTGTTGTCGTTGTCAAACTAGATGCGTTGCTTGGTCATTGACAACAAGATGGAAAGATAAGGCTACTAAGTACCACCACTACATATACCACCACTACATACACCCACCATCCACTTTACCTCGTTTTACCACTCTCGAAAACCTGGCAGAGGCATCTTGTTTGGTATCCGCTCCAACATCAGGATCATGTCCAGACGTGACCGACCGACGGGTTACTTTGGTCTTACCCATGGGCAACTCTTCATTCGTCATCCCTGCCATCGTCATCGCCTCCTCCTCCCTGGTTATCACCTACGGGTCGATCGACTCGTTTACTACCGACCCCACCTCCGAATCCACCACTGTCGACTCCACCTCCACATCCACCACCATCAGTTTTACCTTCAAATCCACCATCATCGACCCCACCTCTCAATCCACCCCCATTGACCCCACCTCCTGCCGATCCATCGACATCACCGCCATCATCATCTACCATACCCCCTCATACTCGTCTCGCATCCACATCTACATCACCCCGGACCGGAAAGAGAATCCCTTTGTGTCCTTCTCGGACGGCATCCCCCTCACCTCCAAACCCCCCACCTCGGCCTCTTTCACCACTCACCATAAGCATACCATTCCATCCGGCATGACCATCGCCCAAGAACAATCTGTCAAAGTCTCCGACGGCGATTTACTGCAAGATTGGGCGATGGGTCACATGGACCCGTCTTGGTGTCGAATGATATTGGATGAATGGGTCGGTGGGGTCTCTGATTATGTCGTATCTAACGTAAGTCTTATTAATCAATTTATACGTCAATCCGTAACTATACCACACATCCGATGTACCATTCCTGTTCACTTGGGTGCTTGTTACAGTCAATCATCGAGAGACAAATTCTACAGCACCCTAATCATATCATATTCCTTTTCAATCGACCGTTCAAGCTATCGCCTGACGATCACAGGTCACAAAAATTTACGAATTGACTCCGACAATCGCCTCCATCCGAAAGGCAACCACGTTTATGCGAAGCGGCCCAGACTTGAGCTTTGTGGTCGGAGAGTGGATATGCGACGAGGGTAAGTGTGTATGTCGTCAATGCGATGGAATGCAATTGACTGGACAGAAGGTGAGAGGCCTGGTCGGCAGTTTGAGAGCTGGCTTACAACGATGTTTACCTGGGATAGGAAAATTAACTGGTTTTTGGGAACTTGTGAGTTGTGTAGCCGAAACATGTTGATACCTCTCTCTCTCTCTCTCTCTCTTTCTCTCTCTCTCTCTCTCCCCCTCCCTCCCTCTCGTTCTCTCTGTCCTCCCCCAAACCTTGCTCTCTCTCTCTCTCTCTCTCGTCAGATTATTGAGAGGAAATGTGGACTGACGGTATCCCAGGCATGTGATCCAGTCGAAATACCCACGATCCGTGCCGATCTTTCCAAGGAACATGATTGTATTGATGAGAGATTCAACGATGGGACGATGACAAATGACAAATGACGTTTCTGGACAAGACGGCGAATTCAGAAGAAGATGAGACGCCAAGTGCAAGGTGCAAGGTGCAATGGTTGAGAAAGATAAGATGGATGTCTCATGAGTGAGTTTGACATCACTCGTCATTGTACCCTTGTCACTCCCAACACGCGCTGAGAGATCGTTCAGTTTCCACACCCCACGAAGTCTCTTCCAACTCGACAATGAGCTGGGTTTGAGGAGCGAGAGCGAGTACGGATGGAGCTCTGATTGGATCGGATTGAACGTTGAATGAAAATCCGGTGACATGGCTGATTGTGTCAGTTTGACCTTGAAACTCCTCTCTTCCTGATCAAGTGAAAGAAAGACTCGCCTGACATCCATGAGATGACCATGGGGAAACGTTTCATCTCCAGAATAAAGACTCCAGACCGATGCAGATGCAGCTTTGCATAGTTTGAGAGATCAGGTCGTTCAATGATATCCCTCCCTCAAAAAACGATGAAAATGAGAACCCTGGTTATTCCACAGCCTATTTCTATCTCATTGATTGCCAATAAGAACGAGTCGGAAGAAGAAGAAAGAACAAGCTGAACAAGGCAAAGGAGGAGATCAAATTGGGAACTAGGATGATGAGGTTTTTGTCATGTTACCAGTAGGTACCTCGTCTGACTCACTCTCCCCTTTCCTTACTTTCCTCCCGTTCACACCTTTTCACTCTGATTCCATCAACTCGAGCTTTCCATCGTCGTCCATCTCAGAACTATTCGAGGCATAACCCCTCAACTATGATTTCGGATCAGATTGTTATCCCAGCCCTGAGAGGTACGAGTACTTACTCGTAGATCGACTATGCCAGATCACCCCCCCCCCCCCCCACCCCCCCTGATCCCCCTTTGAACACGACCGAAACGTGGGACCGGGAAGAGAGGATGTCGATGAGGTTTTAGGAATGGATATATATTACAAGTCAGTCCCTTTTCTTCCTCCCTACCTCCTTTCTATCTTTCTTCATCTTGCTTCTATTTCTTGCACTAAAAAATGCACTTTCTTTCCTGCCCTGGATCAATCTTCTTCTGTGACCTGACCGTTGAGACTCAACTCCTCCTTTCATCCACTCCTTTCCCAAGACGTGGGAGTACCTACCCAACAGGAGAGGAGAGGATTTTGGGAGATCCTAGATATGTGTTACATTGAGTGGGCTGAGACGAAGAAGAGGAAGGGCATGTTACCTCTCTCAAAACTCTATTCTAGGTTGAAGAGTCAGGGATCCTACCAATCAGCTCCAACCCGAACGATGTTCTTCCGTATCACCACAAGATCCCGTCAACGACAGGGGATCAAATGAGGAGAAGAAGAAGAAAAGTCCTCGACCATTTGTTACATTACCATTCTGTACGTCTCGAAATCGATCATACACTTTACCACTTCCTGAAAGAATCAACCAATTACCAATTCATTCTCTGCATCGGAATGTACATTGTACCCACTTCAGGTGTTCGAACCGACACCAAGTCAATCAAGGTACCAGTACCAAAGCATTGGTAACGGATAAAAGTATAGCAGCAAAGAAGGATAAAGGAATCAAACCACCCAAAAAAAAAAACAGAAAAAAACAACCAAACCAAACCATTGTGAATGAGCTGGAAACGGAACGATAGAGGACACGGAATGATGTTTCCAATGCACGTACGTGGAGCGGAGTGAAAGAGAGCTTTCAAGATGGAATAACAGAGAGATAGAAGATTTGAGTCGGGAGAAATCTTCCGAGTCACAGTCATGCTCCGAAATCTGAAAGAAAGTTGTCTGAGATGTTTGAATTAATCAAGGTGGTGTATCGAACAATCATGTAGAAGAAGATCACCGACACGTCGATTCGAATTGGAACCAAGAGGTAGATGAGAAGAAATAACAAGGTGAGGGACAAGCTTTCCGGTGGACGAGACCAGATTCCAGAAGTTAGGGATAGAGGTAAATACTAAACCAATGACTAGTAGATGAACGGTGATTTCATGGTCGTCAGAGAAGGGGTGTGTTTGGAGCGTGTAAAAAGTAAAAAGGACATGGACCAGTGGTGGGATCGTGAGTTGAGAATTCATGTCTATCTCGGATACACCAACCACACTGTACACTGTCCGATGACGAGACTAGACGCTCTGTTTTGTTCTGTTCCGTTCCGATTATCCTTGTCCTTCTCACCAGCCCAAGGGCCCCCAGACGAATATCGGGTGAATAAGGTATAGGGTCTGTATGTCGGAAATAATGTCACATATTGGAAAAACCCCATCAACCCCCGGACGGACTAACTACGAGTAAAGGTAATCTACAATAGCTAATGAAAAGATTCAGAGATGGGAGAAAAGCCATGTCCATTTCGTCCCTTTTATTTCACCGTACCATTTTGTTTCGGTCTTCTTCATCTTGTCATTATTCCCCCACCCTTCGGGTCACCCACACTTTCTCTTCCTCCTTTTTCCTGCCCGGTAACCCCTCTCACTCTCACTCTCACTCTCACTCCTCTTCCATACTCAAGGATAGGAGAACCGCTCTTCGAAATGCCGTCACATCTCGTTTGTCCTTCGAGTCGCATATCTACAATCCTCAAGTTGGAGAACCCGAGCGGTTTTGAAGCTGCTTTCATGCAATGGTGGGCAACAACACTCTAGACCATGACCATGTTCATGTTCATTCTCACCTACGCTTCTTGTCAAACGTTCACTATGTCAGTGGGCTCAAAATTCTACCTGTTCTAGACAACCTCCACGAGTCCCCATTCAGAGGTACGTCTTCCCACCCCGATGTCACCTTAACTGACAAGCGTGGAGGTTTTTGGAAGATATAAAGAGACAAAGCTAAGCTCAATGAGAATCAGATTCCCCCCCCCCCCCCCCCCCCCTCTCCCCTCGAGCATCGAGCATCGAATGTAGCTCAAACTGGACATGGTTCCTCAGACAAGATTGGATATCTCCTCTGCTCTTCTCGTTGCTGGTAGTGCTGACTGACAAATCATAGGAACCGTGATGAGAAACACGTGTCATGCTGTTGACCATGTACAACTCGCTTGTGCTTGTCACCCCCCGTCAAGTTTTGTGCGACGTGCGACAATCAACTCATGTGTGAAACGATTGCATTGTACATTGTCTGCGAGAGACGCTTGCTGGCTAGAGGGTAATGCTCTCAAACACATCAGGACTGAGGACTGAAATGTCGGTTTGCGTCCCTGTCGACCGGAACCGGGGCACTACAATCCTATGGGTAAGTAGCCAACCATGCTGGCCGAGTGCTGATCTCAGTATGAGACCAGAGACCGTTGATTGGTTCAAGATCGATCTGGCAAGAAAAGAGAAGAAAAACCAAACCCGTATGACACACACACACACACACACACACACACATGTTTTACCAACAATGTGACATGCGACTGGTACGGATGAACGTTGGACCTCTGATCGTTGGCAAGTTATTGAGTGCATAAACCTTACGGGGTAACAACAATGAAGGGTGGTTGATCCCACTTGAATGGAAGAAAGAGGATGGAATACGATCAAATCAAATGGGAGAGAGAAAGAGAGAGCTGTTTTAGGTCGGGTCAGGTAGATCAGGTGAAATTTCCTCTTTCGACCTCATTTTCCCATCGGCCACTGGGTGGGTTTTTTTGCCCGAAAACAGCTTTTCTCAACCCTTTTCCATGTAAATTTACATGGACAAATTGCAGGACTGAACGGATGCAGCGGGATAGTGGATCGAGGATCGAGGATTGAGGATGATTGTAGCTCGCGTAGCCACCGAGGACAATGAGCAAAGTAACTAGTGAAGCCCTGCTGATTCCTTGATACATCTATTTGGCCAACTTGTTCAAAGAAGACATGACTCAACCACGAGCTACATGCTACATGCTACATGCTACATGCTACATGCTACATGCTACATGCTACATGCTACACCTACATAATCCATAGAGTTCCATCCAACTTGACCCAACCTGAGACGGCCATTTCATGTCGTTTCTAAACCACGAAACATATCCAAATTCCCCATCTTTTCTCCCGTAAAGCCCAAACAAACCCCCCTTTCCCATTTCCCCTTGATCTTGCCCTTTACATTCATTCCCCTTCTGGACCGACCCCATCCGTTCCATCTGAATATCGATTCCGGTGCCGGTCCACAGATTGATAGAACTGGTTGTTGGGTGTGTATGTGTATCAGGAATATGTGTGGCACGTTGAGGATGATAAGGATCTCGTGCTCAGTTGCACAATGAGAAGAGCAATCGTAAAGTCGACATTGTCATGGATGGGGTTGACACGAGATGGGTTCACACTGCTCTCAATATTTCTTTCACTCTTCACGTTCACCAAATCGTCACACATATCAAGCCACCAAAACGCACGATGACCTTTCCAAATCACTCAATTCCAACCAACTTTGTACAAGATACCGAAGAATCAGGAAGGAACTGATGACAAATTGACTCACCCTCGATAGAAAACGATTCTAAACCCGGCTTGACATCCCCTCCTCTTGCAACCCCGTTGAGTTGACCTCTTTGGTTTGGACGACACCGATACTCGGTTCCAGAAAGTACCATTAGTTACATGTCGTAAGGAGGTCGTTTATGAGACAAGTCTGTGTCTGTTTGGTGAGTATCGAGATGAGCAAGAGAAGAATCTAGGTCGATTCAAGTTCTGATTTGGATCCAGTAGACGGATGGATGCATACGTCCTCGATCCATATCCATATCTTTGATCATGTCAAGTAGTTTGCCAAATGGATCGTGTCTATCATTCTCTTCTTTGATCATCCTGAAGGTGGTGGTGGTGTCAGGGTTGATGGTAGGGATATGTGCAAAACAAGTTTCAACCGGCTTTCCACCCAAGTTCAAAGGAAAACCTCGAGCTGTGGAGTTAAGAAAAAAGAATTACTCTTTCGGAGACAGACGGTAGAAACAGAACAGGGAGGCGATACTCGCCTCTTGAATTCTTCCAGGGGGAAAGGCAAGAAGAGGAGGCAGAGGGCGAGGTAAACAGAAAATCCATTCACACCATCATTCATGATCTCGGCCACGCCATTGATACAAACCTGTTCTAGACCATATCCCTGTAAGAATCAGCATATGACAAGGTAAAAGGCATATAATCTCACGAGTTTGAGGTAAAGAAGAAAAAGAAAACGGAGAAAAGGACTTGAAGGAGAGAAGACTTACAGGATATACCGATTATAACTTTAGATGACTTAGCTTTATCATCGTGTTATTGATATGAAACCCTACAATCTTGTGTGTGTGTCAGCAGAATTTTCTTTGAGAAGAGGAAGAAGTAAAACAAAAAAAAACCTCGGGAGAAGACGATCCACTACGATTTGGAAGATGCCCGCATCCTCTGTAACAGCAAGAACGAGAACGGGGAGAAGAGGAAGAAGAGTAGGCTCATCGGAAGCCAGATGAAAAAAGAAAAAAGAAAACACACTCTTACAGGATCTGACGTGCAACGTGTGTACATCCCAACAACCTGGTCTGTTCTTCACTCTCTATCCCAACCAAAGTATAATCACCCAACAAAAAAGCACATCCATCTGAATCGGATTTGGTTGAAGACCATACCAAACATTCTAGAAGAATCACGTCGGAAATGGAAAGAAGATAGGAATGTTCTTGCTCATCCACCGCCATCCCATCTTTGCATTATCAATCGGTATCATCCTCAATAAATACAAGTATACCCCCCCCCCCCCCCATGTCAAATACAATGTTGTCTTTACCCATTGAAAGGACGACGACCATTCCAGTTCTAATTTGCCCATTTCTTTGTTACTTGGTTGAGGTGACAATGCAGACCATAAATTCCATGCCAACTGACTGAGTGTGGAGGCAAGCAGCGTCCATGGTAGGATGAGGTTCATATTTGAGGGGAGGATGGATGTGGTCAGTCACAGGAGCAAATCTTGTGTCCTCACAAATGTCGAGTTTCAGGTCCTCTTCATTATAGTCGTGATCATGATATTGCCGAGTCTCTTATACAAGATCAGGAGAGAGAGTGTGCGTGTCGAGGACTGAATTCTATAAAGGGGGACGGTGAAAAAGTGACCAGGATCGGCGATGACATCTAGCCCGTCAGGATGGTAACTCTTTTCAGATGAAAACTGGTATTCACTCGTAGGCCAAGACCGGGAGAATACATATCAACAAGTCAGAGCCCCGGGGGTCGTGTTGTTGGAGAGTCAAAAATTCTCTGGCCGGGATGTTGGTGGCCAAAATGATGATGATGATGATGATGATGACGAGAGGACCTATCAAAGTCAGTACTTGACTTGTGATGATAAACCAAGTACTCACAGACTTGCAGCGGCCAGGAGAACAGGGTCGGGAAGGTGAGAAGACACCACAATGGATATCAAGAGAGTTACAGCCAGTCAGTCGAAAGAAAGAGCGAGAGTTTACTAGTAAAATGACGATGGAGAGATTGGTGGTGAGGACAGGTTGGTTGGAAGGCAGCGAGGAGACATGTCGCGTCGTCGTGTAGACCGGAGAGAGAACGGACTTTGGGGAATGGTGGGTGGTGTGTTGTAGGTCGGCATCATAGGCAGCATTCACAAGAAGATGAGAGGAAATGAAAAAAGGAAGAAACAATAACCAAAAACTCACCAAAGCATTCAAACGATCATCACAAAAAGAATGAAATTCGAAAAACGTTTCCACTTTGTATCTCATCTTGATCAACTTGTCTTAACCATTTTTCTATTAAACTAAACCTCCAACGATCTTCTACTTTTACAAGTTGGTTTTCATCCTTATCCATTGACGGACAAGGCGCTTTGCTTTTACTTTGGTTATCGCTCGTACTTTGCGGTTCATCCAACATGAAATCATGACCGATATTCAAAGGTAAAGCTGACAATTCGGAATTCTTGATACATTCCATTATCCAACTTACAGTGGCGATCTTGTTGTTGATATATCCGGAAGAATCAGAATCAGAATGGATTGGAACTGGAACTGGAATTTGACTTGGACGAGGAAAAGGTGAAGGTGAAGGTATTACTTGAATGACTGTGTTGGGTATTATGTCATCTGATGAACGATGAATGGAACCACCGTGAAGCTAAGTTGAGCATTTGAGACGACAAGGAAAGAAAGCAAGGGACTGACAATGATCAAGTAGTATCGTAAGGTTTCTTCTAATCGGGATGGATGGTTTTTAAAGGAAAGAGAGAGAGAGAATGATAAATCTGAGAATAATGGTATGACCGGTGGACATTTACTACCGGCTGTTGATTGTGTCATGTGTAGTGTGTAGTGTGTAGTGTGTAGGATCTATTATAATAACAGATGATGGGTCCGAGATAAAGGAGGGGATAAACCACGTGGCTAGCGGCGACACCCGCAGAGCGGAAGTGAGACGATAAAGGGGGAATGGGGAGAGACGCTAGAGGTTCACAGGGATCACAGGTTCACACAGAAGAAGAGTGTGTGAGAGAGAAAAGAGGTCGAGATTCCACGGGTCGACAGAGTCAGCTCGAGAGGCAGGAGACGGGCCTGTCAATTTGACAGGTTAGCACACTAGTCTACTATGATAAAAGAAGATGTCGAGCTAACTTTGGAGACAAACCACGTGGCTAGCGGCGACGCCCGCACTCAGAACGAGAGAGAGAACAGAGACACAGAGAGAGAGATAGAGAGATAGAGACAGAGAGAGACAGAGACAGAGAGAGAGGAAAGAGAGAGAAGAGAGAGTAGCTACGGATCCACGGGTCTGAGAGAAAGAGAGAGGCCATGGGTTCACGGGTTGCAAACCAAAAAGGAAGGATAGGGGCCTGTCAATTTGACAGGTTGGCACGCTAGTATAGGATATAGGGTGTAGGATATAGGATATAGGATATAGGATATAGGGTGTAGGATATAGGATATAGGATATAGGATATAGGGTGTAGGATATAGGATATAGGATATAGGATATAGGATATAAGTAACTTGGTGAAAGAATGACTAGCAGTAACCCGCTCGCTCCCGCTCGCGGTTGACAAAAGTGTTATTCGTGGCTATGGTACGGTGGCCCGATGGTTCCTCTGATTCTCCAAATTGCACAATCAAATTTGTGTTTTGCCCCGCGGGCCTGAGCTAGGTTGAGTCAGCAGATCCTCTTGCCATTCTCTGTCTACCTCTTCTTTTATCTCAAACTATACCAAGACGGAATAGACCAATCAAGTGGCAACACAGCAAGAGATTATCGACAGGTAAAGCGGGACCAGAGATTGTTGAGAAGAAGCGAGACAAGAGATCTCTAAGCGGGACAAACTGAGAGGAAGCGGGACACATCATTGAGAGGAAGCGGGACACATCATTGAGAGGAAGCGGGACCAAGATTATTGAGAGGAAGCGGGACTAAGATTATTGAGAGAAAGCGGGACACATCATTGAGAGGAAGCGGGACTAAGATTACTAAGAGGAAGCGGAACAACCGGTACGCACACTCAATGATATCCACTCTTCCGCATCATTCTCCACATCTTCCGTCACTTCACAGGTTCATGGCTGACTTTCAGAATACCTCACTGTGTCCCCTCTTGCTTCTTGCCTCTCCTGTCAGACCTTGAAAGAGTGACGCATTTATGAATCCTTGGTGCTCCTCTGGATACTTAGAAGACAAGTGGAGAATGGGAAAAACACGGAGACACAGCAAGGGGAAGCAGAAGAAGTCGGAACCATACCACAAACGACTCCAAAGAACTTTTGAAGACAACCTTGACACATCCATTCCTGAACCCGACATTCCTTCCGAACTCATTCATTTCTTCACACTCCCTGAACATGCACGATCCCAAAAAAACATTGATACTGTCCTTCACCGTCTAAATGCTCTCAACCTTGGTCCACCTCGCCAGCTCACCCTATCCATACCTCAAGGTGTGATTAGTTCTATGAAAGCAAATGGACTTCCTTTCCATGTTCTTCGTATTCCACACATGATCCCTCAGACCAACATAGACGCCATCTTATCTCCCTTTCACACGTTCAACGACCTGAAACCCTTTAAACATGTTTCTACATCACAAAGACGGGAAGGGATTGAAGGGCTTCATCCTTTCCATTTAGGCATAGTGAGACGGCAAGGTAATACCATTGGAGTCAGCAAGGACACCAGTCAAACAACAAGGAAGATGATCAACAAACCAACCAAAAAACAAGATGAACGACGTCAAGCAGCACTTAACATTCTACGTCTCCTCAAAAAGTTTGTCTGCACCCCTGTCAAACGGCAATATTCATATGTGGACAAAGACACAGTCGATTATTCATTCTTTCTCAATCATCAAGGACGTGATATGACCGCTGCTGAAGGAACAATTTATAGAGGAGAGGAGACAGAAAAAATTGGTTACAGTAAAAAGGGAAATGGTAGTGGAATGAGATTTGTTGGCATGGCAATGGCGGTGGCAATTGGGTATGGTGAGGCTCCCTCACCTTGACCAGAATGATGTGGACTCTATTCCCACCTTCTTCACTCAACTATCCGGTGATCCAGGCTTCACTCGATTCCCTCAACTCCATGTTGATGCTTGTCTTGGTGTTGGTGATGTTCTCATAGCCCCCACCTCTAATCTCATTCATCACGCTGTTGGTGAAGGTCCTGCAAGGAAAGATAGAATAATTGTGATATTTTATACATGCCGTCATGTTGAGAGTCTGTTGGGGAAGCAGGAGGGTGGTAAAGTAGTTAGTGGACCATTGGAGGGAGTAGATTCAGATGATCTCATCATCTTTGACGAAGATGAGATTAGTGAGGAGACAGACTACGAGGAAGTAATTGAATGATGCATTCTATTTGTAACCATAGGCAACCCACCTCACCTCTCCACATTGACAAGCAACCTCTGCAGCGGACATAGTGGGTCCTTGATATCATATGACTACACTTCCGTCTGCTCAAAAACTCTTGTCAAATGAACCTGTGTCAACGGTACCATTTGTTCGAAGAGGTTCCATACCTCATGTAATGTCCAACATGCCGCAGATGCACCTAGTGCCCAATGTGCATCCACCACAGCATACCCTCTGTCACTGCTTTGTCTCGTATCTCCATGATCTCTCTGATGGTTTCTAGCTCGATTCGCTGCAGACACTCTACTCCCACAAACTTCTCTGGGCTTTTGAAGAAATCTTGTCTACGTCCACCAGATGGATTGGGTTTTGTGGGCTGTCGGCGAACCCGAAAGGAGTTATGGAAGGTGACATGCTGAGCCAATAAGCCTTGAACTAAGGGTGCAAAGAGCCACCAAAATAGAGAGCTTTGGCAATCTCAGCATATTACTGACAGTATAAAGACCACTTACCGATGAGCTGGATTTGTCCATACAAAACCCCTTTCAAGTCCCTCTTGTATTTTTCCAAGAATAAGGTCCACCACCTCCTTCCGCACATGGACCCATTGCCTTTCAATTGTGATGTTACGAAGGGACTTCAGACAGATATGAGGTGGGACATCATCGAGCTCAGGTGAGGAATATGTCTGACTGTATATCTCAGCACGCTGTTACATGAGGTTGTTCGTAACTCTCACCGTAGAAGAAACTGTGTTTCTGAAATCTGCCCCATCTCAGAGCCCCTATCACTTGCAACTTGTATAGGGTAGCCTATCTGTAAGCTTGCTGCTGAATACAGAACCTGTACGTACCCTTCTGTTCCAAAATCGTCTCCAGGAAAAGCCAGTGGACATTGGCAGCCAGACAATTACTTGGAAAGGCATGCAGTGCCAGGAGGAAACCGGAGTATACATCCCTGATCCCATATATTCCAAACCCCCACATTGCAAGCTTGTCATGGCCATCCATTGACCATTGCTCATTGGGGCCGGCACTGATGATTGGAAAGCGCCGAAGACGACGAGAGCCTTGTGACCTGTTTTGAAGACCTTGTGGATCAATCATCTGGAGCTGTCGGTATACTGCATTACTGTGGTGTGAGTAAAATCCTCTTGGTGATCAGGAGGTCATACCGAGTGACAACAAGTCCCTTTAAGCTGAGCGCATGAGTAACACCACAATACCCACGGGTTTTGTGTATGCCATCAAGGTTCCGAATCTCCACATTAAGTTGTTCGGGGGTCAAAGCCCCCTTTCGAGAACCTGGTATTTTCATGATACTACAAGTCTTGTAAAAAGCGGTCTTGGACCTGTAAGTTAGCAACTACAGCATACCTGCAGGAATGGTGACACACCCAAACAGCCAATCTGAGTTTTGTTGTACAAGTTGCCGGTTCACATCCTTCCACGACTTTGCTCCAGTTTGATAAGCACTGTAAATTGCTTGTTCCAACTCTGGTGTTGGTGTAGCTGCATACATAAGCTGAGAATGGCTTTATGCAAACACCTACGTGGAATAACTGGTCTTGTTCTTGAGGTTGGCATATGAACGTTTGCACGAGAGCAAGAAAGGAAAGAATGAAGTCGAGATAAAAACAATGCAAATACGTGAGTGGTTCATTCATCTTCTACACAACTACGGGTGAAGCGGTATCAAATTCTACAGACTACTTACTTCAAGCTAGAAGGGCCAAAACTTTGTCATATCCAGACGTTTTGAAGCAAGATTAGGGATTGGGGGTGGAGAGGAGGGTATGAGTTTGTACGCCTCTTGCACCTCGTCCTCACTAAGGACATCTGACCCTTTGTATGTTGCCACCCATCCTCTCTCCGTCATTTCATCCTTTCTCCAAAATGGAAGTTCAGTAGGATGGGGCTCCTCCTGTACTGGTACAATACTGGATGGTTTTGCACGCTCCATGTTGTCAAGCCCCAATGCAACACATACAGTGTTACACTTGTGTCGATGGACAAAACGATGTAGCTTGGGATATCCACAGTCACCAGGGCCGGAGTCTCGAGGAAGCCTATACATCAGCACATCGTTGACTCCTGAGGCAAACTTTCACCCACGTGTGAGTGAGCAAATCAAATAGAATGAAAGAACGTCGAGCAGTTGCGGGGACCTTTCCCACAGAAGTGAGGAAACCTGAAGATGAGCGCCATCCTTGAACAGGGACTCACCTTGTATGTCTGCCAGAATTAGTGTCCTGTTACTGGTTTCAAACACCCAGTGAATCCACGCATCTAAATCTTCCAGGATGAGTTTAGTCAAGAGCTGGTAATCATCTGGTTTTGGAGCAACATAGTCAATGTTACTCCATTTCACAAAGCAGCTATTCCATGTTTTGAGGGGATGTGCGCTAGCTGGCTGTTCGGTCAAGCATTGCTCCACAATCCACGAGCGAGGATGCTCTCGACCATCGGTAGGTGCTGCTTCTTGTATGACAAAAGCCCCAGTGACTTTGAAAGCTACTCAATGGGATCAACAGAAGTCAATCCAAGTGAGATGATTCCACTCACAACTGTCACGTCTTTCACAACGTTCAGACTTCCATTGAACCTCTTGGTGGAAATCCTCTGCCCAGAGCTTAAGCTGAGTGGCTTTCTGCACCTCTTTGAAGTTTAGATGAAAGTGTTGTGCTTCACTGAGGATGACGGTGTGTTCATCTGGATCCGTGGCAAAGGTCATTGAGTAATGCCGCTTGGCAACCCAGTGGTTTTTTCCTACGTGTAGCTGTTGCATAAGCTGGGCCTACAGGTGGTGACTTACATGGTAAATTAGCTTGAAGGCTCCGTGCTCTGACCACATTCGGTCCAACCGTCCAGTCTCCATCATCTCAGCCTGGATAGGATCCAAATCATGTGTGGTTGGATCTGCATAGATATGGTGGAAGTAGATGACTTCCTGTTCATCCCCTTCATTTGCTTCAAGGAGCTCTGACGAGTCAATATGAGATCAGTCACATAAAGCACTCACCATTCTCTATCAATGTCTGTTGGAGATCCTGCAAGGCTTGCAACGTTTCTTCGGCCATAAGGGGCTCCGAATCCACTGGCTGATTGTCCTCCACACATGTCTTTTTTGAGACCGGCTCCTGATGGTCGTTGGAACTGTCTGAAAGTTCACGCTTCTGATCAATGTCAGCATTAATGACAGGACTTGCTGAGAACTGACCAAAGTACTTTTACGCGGTGCTCGAACCTCAAAGTGAATGACAATGCGGCTTGATTTGGTGTCACGTTTACGTCCATACACAGCATGTGCGGAGAGGTATTCCTGACGGAAGAAGTGTGAGAGAGTTGTGTACTTCTTCAAATCATCCAGGTTGACACGTTCATTCTCACCATGAGGAGTGTGGAGGTACTCAAAGCGATCAGAACTACTATATGAGCGTCATGATCATCAACCAACGGCTCACCTTTCAATGTCGAAATTGTAGACCTCCTGTCCTTGCCCGGCACCATTCCATGCCTCCACCACTTTGGTCCAAGCAGTCTCAAAGACATCCTTGAGTGCCGTGTGCCATTCAGCTCGAAAACTTGGAATCTCGTAAGGCCACTTGGCGGACTTCTTGTAGCTGTTTGCCTTTGACAACGCTACACGTTAATGGCAATTGAATGGATGAGTTCCACTCACCCGTCACAGAGACACTTGTGAGTACAATGGCACATACCCCAAGACCTTCTCTAGCCCCAGCAGCATTGTTGGCTTTTGTCACAGCCAAGGAGCGTACTATGCTGGGGAAACTAGAGGCTGGAGTTGAGGCTGTGTTACGGGGTAACAACGAATCGAGAGGACTCTATCGAGTTCGACGGATTAGGACAGAGAAAAGCGGGAGTTGGAGGCAGTGCTGCAGTAGGTAGGGACGGGTTTTCCCCTTTCGAGATTTTCCCCACTGGGTTTGCTCAAAGCGGTTTTTCACCTGTCCGAGTATGTACGTAGACGCTTGCAGCAGGAAGAGGACAAGGACGAGGATATCCGTAGACAGTATATAGTACAATCAGCAAAGTACCAACTTTGCTGATTCTTCAATATCATTCTTTGGCTACATCGATTGCAGAGGAGACACGATCCATTAGCACCAGAGCCCCTAGATTTCCACGAGACATCCATCGAGTTCGACCCAACCTGCGACCTAGTCATCGTGTTTCCAGTACCGTTACAAGTTGAAGAATCAGCCTTACGCACCTTGGGTCGAATTGGAGAGTACTGTATGCTCACCAGAGGGAAAGCGCGGAAAATGATACCAGAAAAAGAGGAGTTGGAACAAGGGCTGGTCACAGAGGAAGAAATACCAACAAGTTCTTCGAGAAGTACCATTTCACATGATCTCACTTCTACCACCACTACCCCAGATCCGCTGAATGAATTATCGCAGCAGTTGTCACAATTGTTAGCCATTATGACGATGCAACAAAAGGAACAAAATGCATTAAGGGAAGAACTGGCTACGATGAAAGCTGACCGACAGAACCAACAGCTACTCACATCGAAAGGGGCATGTTCGATCGGAAGCGAAGAAAACAAGCCGTGTTTGGAGCCAAAACTTACCAACAACGAACGAACAGGAAGAACCAGGTGTGCGGATCCACCTACCTTCAGTGGAGAACGAGGAGAATTGGACAACTTCCTTGCAGCATGCCACATGAACTTCGAATTCAAAGGGGCAGAGTACGCCACCGATCGCAGAAAGATCCTGTTCACGTACGGGTATCTTCGAGGCACCCCTCAAATGCTTCTAACCCCGGCCATAACCAATCCAAGTATATGGAATTCGACCGAATGGCTAGAGAGCTACGACAAATTCATCCAGCATTTACGAACTCAATTTGGAGACAGTAACATGGCAGGTACGGCTATGAGGAAATTGCAGGAGTTAAGACAGACTGATACGGCCGCCGAGTATTTTGCCAACTTTGAACTTTGGTCCACACACCTTGGAAAGGTAC